CCCCGGGACCGCCCCAGGTTTGTGGACTTTGCGCACCGCATGGCGGACACGCTGGGTGACATCATCGCACACCGCAGCGGCACGGCGCCACAGGGCGCGGCCGCGGCCCCCGCTTCCGCCGCCACCAACACCAACGCCAACAGCAGCGGCGCCGACCACGCCGGCGGCATCGGGGACAACAACCTCCAACGTGTGGCTGAGACTGGGGATGGCGCCACATTCGCATCCGCGGCGCCGCATGTAGAGGCCAACGGCGGCGGCCCCGCCCCCGCCAAGGCGAGCCGCCCGAGCGCCTTCGGCGGCGCCGCCGCCGCCGGCCAGCTGCCGCCCCTGCCGCCGGCCGGCGCCGGGGGCGGCGACGGTGGGCCCGCGCCCGCGCTCGCCTCCGCCGCGTCGATGGCGCGCGCGCAGTCGCTGGCGCGGCAGTATTCGGCGGCGCGGCGCGTGACTGGCGGAATATACGACCGCATCAGGACGTTCCTGGAGACCAAGCGGCCCGGCCAGGTGAGTAGCTGTGTTTTTCTGAAGGACAGCCGCATGCATGGCTGTTGGTGGGCTAGGGACGGCCGGAACGCCAGCGTAGGTTGGGAGGGGGTGCGGCCAGCATTGCGGCGCAGGTGGCAAGAGGCTTTCTTCGCGACCCCCAGGGGGCGCGGGACGGCGGGGGGGGGGGAGAGGCGCACTGGGTACAGCCGGCTGGCCCGCCGTGGCGACCCTTTGGCTTTCAGGCAATTCACAGAGTTGTCGTCTGCCGGCTCATCACGTTGTGTGCGCCTTACTTCCTTGACCCTACTTTTGGTTGATGCTACTGCTGAGAACGCGTTCGTGCAAACACATACACACACTAGGTTCCGCCGGCCATCACTTTTCCAAACAACACTCTTGATGGCTGCACGTGCCGCTTGCATTTGTTTCTGTTAAGATGTGACTCATCTCAGTCTTTATTTCTGAAAGAAAGTTGTACACACTTTCAACTTTTTCCGCATCATGCGGAACGCCCCCGACCCACGCCCTCCCCCCCAGGTCGACCTGCCTGAGGTGCTGCAGGTCAAAGGCCTCATAAGGCTGGGGGAGGCACGCGCAGCATGCAGGTTCGCACGGGCGCACACACGCGGGGTCTGAGGGGAGGGTTAGATGCAGTGTCGCATCTGGCGCAACGGCTGCGCGCGCGTGCATGTGTGCGTGTGTGCGTGCACCGGTCGCAGCTGCGTGGGGCGGAGGAACGACAAGTGGGTCAGGCGCGACGCGGCACTCCCGTCACACGCCAAAACGCTCGGCGGCCGGAGACGACCAGCGCCCGCGGCCGGCCACGCGTGTGTTGGGCGCCGCGGCGCCCGCTGCCGCCATCCTGCGCTGCGAGCGACTGGGCTCCTCGTGCCTCGTGACCGCGAAAGCCCCACCAGATTTGAGCCTCCCTGCTGCCGTACCGGTCGCCCCACCAACAACGCCATCAAAC